AAACCAAGAAATTTGAGAAAAAATTTTTTTCCATAAATAGTTTTAAGATTTTCTAAGTTCCTATTATAGAGGTTCCGCATTGTACCAGCCAATAAAAACAAATTTGCTCTATGCCTCGCCTCACGAGAAATTTTTAGAATTGTCCTGCCAGCGAACGATTGAATCGATATAAATCGATATATAATCATGCCTTTATTATCAATAATTCCTAGACATAAACGTCCCAACATTTTCAAATTTTTAAAATTCTTTTTTACATTATTCTTTTTGACTATTTTATTATTCTTTGCAGTTTTTGATTTACATCTAAACGTTCGGGTTTATTGGAGAGATTGGGTTGTAAACGAAGAATTTAAAATCGAAAGTCTTTACGGATGTTTTGACAAGTTAAACTCAACAGAATTAGAGAATTATATGAAATCTAATATAGAGTATAATGACATTATTCCTTCAATACCTTTAACTCGTGGTTGGGATTGTTTTGATTTTGCCAAGAAAATAAAGTTAAAACCAGGTCAACCGATAGAAAAAATTATATTTCATACATATTGGAGAACAGATCTACAACCTTTGGGTGATAAACAATTAGCAACATTAAAATCATTTTTCGCTACTCAAAATAGTAATTATACTTCATTAATTCTTTGGACAAATGGAGATATTCCTGATGAAACAATTTTAAAACCTTTAATTGAACGATATTCGAATAGATTTAAAATTTTAAAATGTAATATAAAAGATTTAAGTAAAGGAACTCCCTTAGAAAATTCAAAATACCTTTTAAATATAGAAGATAAACATGCATATTTGGATGGAGATTTAATTCGATTATTGGTATTATATGAACATGGTGGAATATGGTTTGATATGGATTCACTTCTTATTCGAGATTTTTCACCATTAACACAATATGAATGGGTAGGACAATGGGATTGTTTTTTACCTGAAAGATTCCCTTTCAATGGAGCAGTCATGAGATTTCGTAAAAAATCACCATATATATGTGAATTTTTATCCGAAATGAATAATGGACCTGCACCAGAAAAAGATTCTACGGATTGGGGATCAAAACTTTATCTTAAAATATTTAGAAGATTAATTCAAAGTGGGATAGAAACATTTTTAATAATTCCTTGGTGTTATACTGATCCATTTTTATGTAAGCCGGATAATTCAATGCCAAACGCATTTATAGAAACTGAATTTAATAAAGAAAGATTATTACAAATTTTTTCATATCATTGGCATAATCAATGGAGCAAAAAGAAGGGAAGTTTATTTAAATTTTTAGAAAATAGAAATAATGATTTATTAGGATTTTAAAAATTGAAATTGTAATTATAATATATTTTTATTACATTTTAATAATTTATTTAATAATTTATTTAATAATTATTTAATAATTTATTATTAATTTATTTTTAATTCATTTTTAATTATTTTTAATTTATTTTAATTTATTTTAACTCATTTCTTGAATAAAAAATCACTACAAAAGAATTAAAAAGGAATAAAAGAAATAAAAGAATCATTACAAGGAAGACAGAAAATCTTCCAACCAAGGTTTCTTTTTGTTTTTTGTTTGTTTTTTCTTTTGTTAAATTTGTTGATCTTTCCGTTTCTTTTGGATATGCCATTATTACATTATTATTATTACCGCCATTATTATTACTATTATTATTATTATTATTACTATTATTATTATTATTACTATTATTATTATTCGGGTATTCTTGTTAAAAATGAAGAAGAAATATTATTATTATTAACTAATCGCTTGTCATCAATTTTTTTTAGCTGGTTGATCGATATTCTTTTTAATCAAACATCCAGGAAATTTAGTTTCTCTATTTCAAGAATTACAAATATAAGATTTATGATTTTTATAATGTCGTCAGCGTCGACGATTATTATTATTATTAATGAATTTATTATCTCCCGTTTGAATATAAATTATTTGATGTTTTGTTGTTGTTACGATTTATTATTATTATTATTATTATCCGAAAGATTTGATAATTTACAACCTAAATAATAATAATAAAATCAATTATTCATTATCATTATGATATTACGTTCATGATATGTTCAAACTTCAAACCTTTTTCCTTTCCTTCAATATCATCTTCTTTCGAATATATTGATATTTATTATTATCTCCATAATTTCCTAATTTTTTTCTTTTTCTCTTTTCTCTTCGCTTTTTGTCGTCATTATTAATATTATTTACGTTAATAACACTAATTTGAGAGTCAATTCCTGCAATAAAAAATAACTACAATACGTTCGTTTTGATACCATCCTCGAGAATCAAGTTTTTTTCTGCAGCATTTGGTTATTATTATTATTATTATTTGAGGTAGTATTTGAATGGTATTTGATTTAGTATTTGAAGTAGAGAGATTGAGTTTTACAAAGTTTTATAATAACTACGCGACACGAATTATTATTGATTTTGGGGTTACAAGTTTTTTTTAATTTTGGGGGTAGTTTGTTCCCACGTGACTGACAACAAAAAATATAGAAAATTTTATAATCACATTTTACATATTTTGATATTTTACATATTCTTTTATTACACTCCCTCTATTATTATTAAAAAACTAATTTAAACAATCCAACATATTATTTCATCACAAAAAAAAAGCAAAAAAAAATAAAGAATTATGTGAAAATTTTTTTAATTTAATATTTAAACTAAACGCCAATTACAAAAAACCAAAATTTTTAATGTGTTTGGTGCAATTGTGTTCTTTTTATGGTCATTACATCAAATTCGCTGAAAAAGTCTTTCACTTAGGATGGAGTTAGCAAATACTTGTTAATTTTGATAATATTGGAAATCAATTCTTTAATATTTTTATATCATAACAAAGGACAATTACCATATTATTTTAGATTCAAAACAATGTGATTTTGTAATTCCCAATGATATAAATGAGTATTATATTGTTTGTTTAATACATTTGGCTAAATGAAATTAAAAATCTTAAAATTTCGCGTAGTTAAAAAAAAATGTAATTTGTTGGAATTTATTATTTTTTAATCTTGATGTTATTGTACAACCAACTTTTGTATATTCTCTAAAATTCTCCATTATCTAAAACGTGACCTGAATTTTTGCAGCCAAAAAAATATGCTGCCCTCCCGGATCAAAGGAAGGTTAGAGTAAAAAAAAAAAAGTATTTTGTATACATGTTCCCAAAATTGCGATTTGATTTTTGGGGTAGTCAAAAAATTTCAGGTTTTAAATAAAATAATTTCGTCTTCTATGAAAAACTATTTCGACTTTTTTTTATAGAATGCGTACAATTAAAGGAAAAATTTATAAATCAAACTTTTAAAAATTTTTTCATCATGAGAATCACAAGAAAGATGAATGGAAATACTCGACCCAATTTATCATTCGTTTTTTTTTTTTTTTAATTTATTTATAGAAAGAATAATATCAAAATAGTTGAAATAAATGAATTATAATGAATTTAAATTCCTAAATAACGTATGCTTCGTAATACTGTCTATAAACATACGTATATAATAACCTGTCCAAAGTCACAAGATTTATATATAATATATATGAAGTCTCAACGTCTATAAACATAACCTGTTTAAATGCATAGGATTTTCTTAACCCGAGGGTATGCTTATAGACAAGTTCTCTGTAAAATCCTGGCGGAACGAAGAATAAAAGTCTAGATCCATCAAAAACTCAAATAATATAAACCCAAGAACGATAGGAAATCCCGAACCATAATAAATCGTGTTATGAAAGCAGTGTGCATAATTTTTGCTAGTAAGTTAGAAAAAAAAATTCATTTGTAAATCATAATACCCGTTGTAATATCAAACAATAATATATGCCCAAGAGAATAAATCCTCAATAAAAAAAAATATAAGACGCGTTGAAAAATGAATAATGGGCTAACAGGTAAAAAATTTTAATAATAAAAACAGTATCCCGTATAACTGTATACGTTTCAAAAGATTATGCGCGCGCCGGGAATTGAACCCGGGTCTGCCGCGTGGCAGGCGGCAATTATACCACTAAACCACACGCGCTTTTGTAAGTGTCGACCCAATTATTTTTCTTATTTTTCTAGATTTTTTGTAATACCACTATAAAAAAAATTTTTTATATTTCGCCGCCAAATAAAAAATTCAATATAAAAATTCAATATAAATACAAAATTAAAAAAAAAAATAAATATTTTATTTTTAATAGATAAATAAAAAAAAATATAATAATGAAAATAATAATAATAATAATAATATAATAATAATAATATAATAATAATTTGTAATCAATTGAAAAAGGATTATTCATATTGTCCAATCGATCAACTGAATCTTCTATTTGACAACACATAAATGAATATTTCTAATAATGAAAATATTTTTTCAAGAGTCATCAAAGGGCATTATCACAATCAAATTATAACAAAAAAAAAAAAAAAAGAAACAGATTATGGTCCTCATGAATTTTTTGTTTTGTTTGGGAAGGAATACAATTAATATATTCTATAGAGTATTCTAAGAGGTGAAAAGGTGGCTGTTTGTTAACAGGGGAGAGAGAGAGAGAGAGATAGTTTGTGCCATTCAAAGGATTGTCGAATTACTAACTATTACTACTACTACTACTACTATTACACAGCCTTTTTTCCTTCATCTATATAAGCTCTTAGAATAATATAATCCACAAACACTCAAATAATGAATTATGAAAATTCAATCTACATAACTCAAGTTGACCCTTCTTCATCTCTGAGGCCATAATATCTCAATGAGACCTTGTCATTATTCTAAATAGAAAATGATCTTGATTAAATGACTATTAAAGAGAGAGAAAAAAAAGAAAAATATTAGAAAGATTATTGAAGATTATCAAACAAAAGAAAAGAAATAATTAAATTTTTGACTTTTACCTTCATGTCCTTTGGGGGTCAATATAAGATTTAAACAAAATCATGGTTATCAGTCCACATTTGCAGAAAGAAATTATATTACATCTCTTTTACTTTCTGAGAAAGTTTTCCATATTCTGAAAGGAATTCTGATTTACGAACCATGTCCCAAATTTTCATTGAACTTTTAAACCTTTAACAAAGAAATCACAAAAGATTAATATTATTATTTAATATTTACTATAAAAAAAAAACAATAGTAATTTAAGACTACCATTCTTTTTCAGAAACTTGGCCTTTTTTTCCAGCTCTCTTTGGTAATTGAAATATTTGATTTCTCAAAGACTCGGCCATGACGAAAAAAGTATCAGGTGCATTTAAATAATTTAATCCAACACTTTCTTGCTTTAGTCGAAGAGGTTGATTCTCATAGGGCAAAAGGAATAGATTTGGAGAAGGTAAGTCACTTTCATGCTTAAACATTGAAAACGATTTTGACATTGAGATCGATCCTAATTAAAAATAATTAACATATTAAAATTTTTATGGCAAAAAGAAAAGATGATAATATCAAAAAAAAAAAAAAATTTAAATTAAATTACCAAAGATTTTTAAATTTGAATCTTTAAAAAATTTGGATAATAAATTATGAAGTGTCTTAAATTTAGAAGTGGTAAAATCTGTAGGAGCAGATTTATTACAAACCAATACTATGAATATATATTAAATAAATTAAATTGTCGTAATATGTAAATATATAAATAAATAAATAAATATATATATATATATGATTTAAAATTATATATAAAGATTATAAACACTATAAAAAACATTTAATTACCTATATCAGGATAATATTCAACACCAGAATCTGCTGACATTAAGGAAGGTATAGTAGGAAATTCTGGTATTCGATACTTTAACATTTCAGCTTTTTTTAGGAAATTCCACATTGAATAATCTACACTTTCTGTGACGGTTATAACAACATTACAAACCGAATATAGAAATATGACTACTTGTAATGACTAAAATAAATTCAAATATAAATATATTATTATTTTAAATCTTTTGATTTTTAATAATAATAATAATAATAATATAATAATAATAATAGATTTTTTTTTTTTAATAACCTTTAATAATGTTATAAAATTGAATTCTTCTTTACCTGTGATTCAAGCCATAATTCGGGTGACATGTTATCAGGAATAAAATCATTTCTAATCGCATGTTCAAGAATTGATAAACTAAAGAGAGGCTAAGAATGATGAACGATAGATGAACCATTCGTTTTAAAAGAAAAGAAAAAATTAAATTAAATTAAATTATCAACAATAAGATCAACTTTAAAATTAACTTTAAATTCAACTTTTAAGAAATAAAATAAAATAAAATAAATAAATAGAATTCTTTACCTGAGCGTCAAGAAGAATAATTCTTTCAGGGGTAACATGAATATCAATTCCTATAGTTTCATGACTAGCAAAATTCAATGTATCGATCGATTGAGTAGTAAATGCCTGACACAATTGAGTTAATGTTTTAAATTACGCTAATTGATAAGTAAACTTAAGATTAGCGAATTCGAATGGTAAGTTATAAAACGTCATACATTTTGTGGATCTTGACATAAGGTAGATATAACGGTTGATTTACCAACTCCTTGAGGGCCACATACACCAATAACGAAATGACCAGGAAGGTCACTTAGAATCTATTGTTAAAATTTAGATATTTGAAAATTTTAATTTAGAGAAATGTTTAAAATATTATTGTAATAAAAAATAATAAATAAATAAATATATATATATATATATATATGTATTTATTAACCTTTAATACAGATTCTTGATTGAAAACACCTTTTTCATTGATTATTTTAATAAATGGTTTCTCTAAAGATTTTGCTCGCAAATTTCCTGAAACAGTAGGTTGCTTCGTGTCTACACGTGAAACATTTACTCGTTCAGTTGAAGTTTCGTTACTAACAACTGTTTGATCCGATATTTGTTTAGAATTTTCATTGGAAATTTTTTGTGGAGTAGTTGGATTAATTGGGGTAGTTGGAGTAGTTGGCTGGGGTCTTCTTTCAAGAATGACGGGTGTTTGATAAAATGATTTTGGAAGGTGATCGGGGTAGGGAGTTGTCAAGTGCCCTGAAGAAGAATCCTAAAGTCAATTACGGTGTAAAAAAAAGAATCCAGAGTCGTAGTTTTAAATAAAAAGTATAATTTCTTAAAATCTAAAAAGTACTTTTACGGACCTTTGTTTTTTTTTCGCGTCTTCGTGCACCATTACTTCCTTCTCCGCGTGAGCGTATTTCCCTTCCTCCACGACCAATTTTTGAATGAATACTACCACTCACTTCACGATTTATCCTCGGGCCTCTCTCTTCTTCATTTCGATCTTCAAAATCGCGGCTTCCGTTACTAATTTTCGCCATAATTATTGTTAAACGTTTACAAGTTGTTCACTATAAATGATTCAATTGGTTGATCCTTTGTTGATAAACCCAGTTTCTGGAAATTCATTGCATTTAATGACTAAAATAGTTAGTTCTACTTTTTTGGGTTACTGTTTTTCTGTTTATTAAAGAACTTTTGTATTTTTTTTTAAAAAAAACAATAAATAAAACAATAAAACTTAGCCGCACACGTGTTATAAGTCATTATTTTTCATTTACTTTAAAGTTTTTTATGAAACGAATTTTTAGAATTTTAACGAATTTCAATATTAATTACTTTTATATCTTCATATGGTTTATCCATTTTATCAGTTTTAGCATTTTCTATAGTATGAATTACATCCATTCCTGCTATGGCTCTCCCGAATATTGTATGTTTATTATTAAGCCATGGCTATTAATTTTTAAATTTGAAATTAGTAAATTAATTAAAATTAAATAAATTAATTAAAATTAAATAAATTAATTAAAATTAATAAATTAGATTAGTAAATTAATTAAAATTAATAAATTATTAATTAATTAAATCAATTGGTTAAATTAGTAAAATTTTTTTTTTTTAAATAATAATGATAATAAGAATAAAATAATAATTTACCGTCGGAACAACTGTTATAAAGAATTGTGATCCATTGGTATTAGGTCCTGCGTTAGCCATACTTACAGTATATGGTCTATCATGTTTAAGATCCTTATGAAATTCATCTTCAAATTCTGCTCCCCAAATTGATTCTCCTCCTGTTCCATCACCTTTATTTTAATTTAAATTTAAATTAATTTTTATTTTGATTTTATTATTATTATTTTTTAAATATATTCAAATTTTCATTCTTTTTAATTATTATTATTATTAAACATACCTAAAGGATCACCAGTTTGAATCATAAAACCTTTTATAACACGATGAAATATCACATTATTGTAATAAGAATTTTTGGAATGTGTAACAAAATTCTCAACAGCTTTGGGTGCATATTCAGGAAACATTCTTATATGAATATCTCCTGCTGTTGTACGTATAATTGCGGTATTTCCTAATTTTTGTTTGGTGGGTGTAGCAGATGCAACTGTTTGTTCTTCACGTGATGGTTTCTCATTATAAACATCTCGATCTCCCTTATGAGATTCATGCCTATTTTTTTTTTTAAAAAAAAAGAAAGGAAAAAAAAAACGAAAAAAGAGAGAATATAAAAAAACGAATTAAATACAAAATATTTTATACAAAATATTTTTTTAGTGAAACGATATACTAACGCATCTGGTTCACGAGTCGTAAACATGAAAAATCTATTTCTTTTGAAAGCCGTACAAAATAATGTTGGATCACGAGACTCACTTTCTTTCATCAATGGATTTTCAGAAGCTGCCAATGCCTAAATATTTCCCCCACACATATTATTATTAAAAACATGATATTCTTTTTTTAAAACTTAAATTTTAAAAAATATTTTTTTTTTTTTACCATTGTAATCATGCCTTTTTTCATCGGTGCACCTTGATATAATGACAAATTTAAAAATCGATGTGGTTCGGTTTTACCAATTAATCTTGTCGCTTTATTTGTGAAAATGTTTACCACTTAAAAAAAAAAGAATAAAAGAAAAATGAATAAATAATAATAATAATAATAATAATAATAATAAGAATATAAAGGAGTCAATTTGTTTGAATAATAAATATTATATTTAATTAAAATATTATATTAATTAAAATATGAGATAATGTTACAAACCTTTAATACCCAACATGGTGGCGTAAATAACGAAATTACCACTTTCATCAAATACTAAATACATAAAATATGTTAATAAATAAATTATATCAATATATTCTGAAAATATTTTTTTATAATCGAATGTTAATTACCTGCATTCATAGTATTGGCTTGTTGTGTCTTTTCCAATTCACGCTCCGCAGCAAGACGACGTCCAAATTCCATATCATCCAATTTGTATATAGCAGTACCTGCCTAAAGAATATCAAAAAAAAAAAAAGGAATATCAAAAATTAATAAATATAATAATAATAATAATAAATTTTGCATCTTTAATCCCTTTTTTTTTCGAAAAATCTTTCAAAATTTTGACCTGTTGCATCTCGCCTATAACCGTTAATGATTCATCATACTTTCGAATCATTTTTCCTTTCGCAAATTTAAAAATGCGAATTTGACGATCACCGATGCTCATTGTAACAAAATGAGTATAATCTGAAGAAAATGTCAAAGAAGTTGGAATGGTTTTAGCCTACCGGGAGAAAACGAAAAAACGAATAAAGTGAATATTATATTAAAAAAAAAATAATAATAATAATAATCATAATAATAATCATAATAATAATCACAATAATCATAATAATGATGATAATTAAATGTGTAAATTGAAAATATATTAAAAATAATGATTTAATAATACTTTTTTGAATTCATATAAATCCGTTTCAGATTTATATTCGAATGAAATAGTTTTAGGTAATTCAAATTGTTCTTCTGGTTCCCAATATTCTACCATTCCAGATGTATCCGCTGAAACTACACAATGATATTTTTCATTATACTAAATAATAGATAAACATAAATTACATTAATTTTATAAATTATATAAATCATATAAAATTATATCCATTTTATAAATTAATTGAAAATTAATAAATAAAGAATTTTTCTCTTAATTTTAAAAAATACATACAGCCATTAAATGAACTGGATGAGAATGCATGTTTGATATCGTATGTAATGGAGTTTCAGTACCTCGACCGTCATAAATATAAATGGTACTAGAACTTTGATCAGAACTATACACACCATCAAATTAATATTTATAAATTATTATTTTAAATATCTCGTTGAAACCAATTTTTTTTTTTTTTTAATCACCATGCAACTAAAGATTGTGCTTGACCACGTTTATGAACCCAACAAACACTATTCGGTACGTAGTCCAATTTCATCATGTTGATCATATCTAACATTGAAAATTATTGAAAAAAGATAGATATATATTATTCAAAAATATTTATATTATTATTATTTTATATTTATTATTATTCAAAAATAATAAATAAAAAATAATTAACATAAAGGAATAACTAAATCAATTACTTACCAAAATTAATAACATCAAATACTTTTAATGCCTTGTCAACAGCAATTGTGGCCAATAATAAACCATCAGCAGATGCACTAATACCAATAATATTTCCAATATGTGCTCTAAAATGTTTAACAAATTCAATTCCTCTATCACTCTTTTTCCAAAATTTTAAATGACCATCTATTGATGTCGTAATTATGAAATCAGTTCTGAGATTAATTAATTAATTAATTAATTATATATATATATGTTAATAATTCGCAATTTAAGGATCTAAATTCATTGAAAAGATGATATTATAATATTTTACTTTGTGACAGTCACAAGGTTTAGAACATCTCGATGCATATAACTTCTTTCATACATATCGGACGAAGGAATATTATCTAAGTATAATTTCTCGTGCTTTAAAACTATATAGATCGATGAATATTATGTATAAGTTGAATAAATATTTAACCTATTTACTCAAATAAATATTAAAAACTTTTTTTTTTATCTTCGAAATTCACCTTTCCTTTTCTTTCTTGCCGTAATTTCGGCGGCAGTGGGTAAACTTGGTCCGATGTCTGTTTCACTATCTTCTGGATTTTAAAGGTAAAAAATATTTAGAAATGTTAAACGACAACATTCTTTAAACAAAAAAAAAAAAGACCAATCAATCAATCAAATTAACCTTCATCTTGATCGATTTCAATTTCTCTCTTGTTGATTTTACTAACTACTTTTTTAGACATTTTGATAAATTTCAAATAATCATCTTAACTAGATTTAATATTTACATATAAGATTAAGATCAAAAATTCAGGTTGCACAAACAAATCACGAGAATTTTTTTGTTGGAAAGATGAGCTAATATTTACATTATATTAACCGATAACATTGTTTTATTTTTACATTCTATTTTTTTTACATTACAATTATAGTTAGAGAAATTTTAAAATTATTATTAAAATAAATATTATGAATAATTAATTTTAGAAATACCATTGTGTAGATTTGGGGCGAATGCGTAATGTGAGAAGAAAGAAAATAAAAATCCTTATCAACTAGAATATTCATTTCTTTGACTTTTATTTTTATTATTTCCAAGTCTTTTAATAGATGTAAAAAATTTATTTTCCAGTGTAAAAAGATTTATATCTTAAAAAAAAAAAATTTAATATATAAGTTTTTGAATTGAATTTCAATAAATATATTTATAAATTTTTTTATATAATAATGATAAAGTGTAATTATATAAGTAATTTATACGATTGTGCAACTTAAAATAAATAAATAAAAAGTATATTCGTGTGTTACCTGATCATTATTTTTTTGTTTGTTTTTGTAAACTGATTTGATGAATCATTCGATTCACATTATGATAAAATTCATCCATGGAAGAAAAATATGCTTTGTTTCAACTGTAAAGCATGGCGGTGGGAGGCGTTTTTCTGGGTTAGGTCCTTTAACTAGAATTGATGGTGGATAGAAGAGATCATTGGTTATCATTTGTTACCATTTTTGGAAAATGGTGAGTATCTTTTCCAAAAGGATTAGCAACCCGAAATTTCATAAAACAAATGGAAATATATCTTCTCCAGTGTCCGGGACAGTCACCTGACTTAAACCCAATTGAACACTTTTGGGATGAACTTAAACGCCGTATTCGAGCTAAAAAAAGAAAAGAAAAAAATTTATCAAAATTAGTTAACAGCCTGGAATGTAAGTATATCAATTTTTTAATAATTTTAATTAATTTAATTTAATTAATTAATTTTCGAAAATAATTTAGAGTTGAAAATTTTTTTTTAATTATATGCTATTATTGTTATATAAAAATATTAATTAAATTTTTATTAAACGGCATTCCGGCTGAAAAAAATTATCATTTCTATATTAAACTTTCCGTAAGTTCCGAAAAATTTATTAAATATATTCTTAAAGTAAATAATAATAAATTCGATAAAATAATTGGTTGACAATTTTCAATAATAATTTATCAGGTGGTTCACTTTTGGTCGAAGTGTATAAAATTTGGATTAGCGATCGCCAAGGAATCAAGCTATTGAATTTTTTTCATTATATAATAAAACTAAAAATTTTTTTATTTTAATTATAAATAATAATTAAAAAGATTATATTTTAAGGTATTCTATAACTTTTTTAATTAAATAATTACGTTTGATTTACGTTATCATATGACATAAAGGGAAGTAATATTATGATATCGTATTTTATTCGTACTTTTTTTAGTTACCTTCTTTTTTACTAGTCTAACTTAGCCTTTTTATATCAAGTTTATATATATATGTAGATTTTTGGAACGTTGTTGTAGAAATAAAAAAATTTATTGAAAAATTGATAAAATTATTGAAATAAAATAAAATAAAATTTATTGAAAAATTTTATGATAAATAAAATTATTGAAAGAAAATAAAATTATTGAATGAAAATAAAATTATAATTATAAGGGGAAAAAAAAAAAAACTTTTAAAATAATGAATTCACCTAACGAAGCCACTCATTCACTTTTAAGAGAGACATTAAAAGTCTCAACAGGAAAAGTCCATACATATAAACGCATCTTATTCAATAAACATGGATTATTTCGTTTTATAACAAAAAGTATTTTATTCTTTGGTGGATTAGCAATTTTTGGAATACTTTCGATTTTTACATATGAAACTATTAAGTCTCCTAAATACGATTCAGTATTATATGATAGTAATTATGTTTGTCATGATTCAAAAACATGTGGAATAAAATATCACGGGGATAATTACAATAACAATAACAATAATAATAATAATAATAATAATAATAATAAAGAAAACAATAATACCACCGTAGCATTCTTTAGTTCATTATATTCAGATAATTATCTCAAAGGAGCATTATTATTAGGATATACGATAAAAAAAAATCATCCAAATCATAAAATGTATTTACAATATTTTCCGGGAAGATTATCAACCAATACGATATGTCAACTTCGATCAATTGGATGGATAATGAAACCGGTAGAAAGAATTCATCCACCTTGGAAAGGATTGTACAAAGGATATCGTGATCAATACACCAAACTTCGAATGTGGTCATTTACCGAATTTAAAGATGGAATTATTTATTTAGATTCGGATACTATTGTACTTAAATATATTGCAAATTTATTTGAATTAATTAAACCATCGACAGGATATGAATTTGCGGCTTCTCCAGATTTGTTGGATGGAAAAGATTCAAATACTTTTAATGCTGGTAAAATATAATTAATCTAATATAATAATTATTTGATTATTTATTTCATTATTTTTATTAATTATTTTATTATTATTTTATTATTATTTTATTATTATTTTATAATTACCTTAGGATTTATGCTCTTGAAACCTAATATTGATGTTTACAATGAATTAATGCGAACACGTAATAATACTTCTGCATATGAAAAAGGATATGCTGAACAAGGCCTCTTGAATGAATTTTATCGATATAGGTCCGTAATAAATATAAATATTGTATTATTATATATATAATCTTTACATTATCTTTACATTATTTTTATTATTATCTGTCATCATAAACATATTTTATGAATATATATATATATATATTTTATTTATTTTTTATTTATTTTTTATTTACAGATATTTAAGACTTCCCGAAACATACGACATAAATATTTCATTAATGAAAACAACTCCACATTTATGGAAAGTATTATTACCTGATATGAATGTTGTACATTATACATGTCGAAAACCTTTTTTAAGATCTGACCCTGGCATATACGCTGAACCTTATAAACTTTGGATTAGTTTATATAATGAGATGGATAAAATTTTTAATTTAGAAAAATTAGCATCAGAATGTGAAAATAGGTTTTAATGTTTTCATTTTTTTGGGAATTTCCCTAAATGTGATTGGGCTAAAATCATCGAATGAATCAGGTGACACTTAAAGTAAGTTGATACAATGATTATTAATTTTATTTTATTAATAAAATAGACATATTGTAACCTCTTTACAAGTAAAAAAAAAGAATATGTATTAAAGATATTAAAGAAATTAAAGAAAATTTGTAAACCCACTAAAATCGAAAGTTTGTATATTGAATTTATTGATATTTAAAGGAAGAGTATTGCAAATTAATATAAATTTGACTTAACAATATTTGTAATAATACAAAAATTTATTATTTATTTTATTTATTAAGATATTTTGCGTGAATCTAATGATGCCACTGATGCCATGTTAGAAAGAACAATGTGATACTTATGAGTAACATATGTATAAAATTTTGTGTAACGTGACCATCATCTGTAAAATCGAAGATCGAAAATAATAATGATACATTGGAGGTAATAAAAATGTAATAACACAATTATTATTTTTCTTTTTTTCCCTTCCAAATCAATAATGTATTAAAAACGGGTATTAATGTTAAAATAATAAAATAATAAAAATATTATTATTTCAATTATTTCATAAATCATCATCGCCACCAGTAAAATTTACACTATCCGATTTACTGCTTGAGGATAATTTTCTTAGAGAAATATCATACACAACTAAAAATGAATTATTATTAATTAAATTATTATTATTAAGATTATATATTTTTATTATTATTATTATTATTATTATTATTATATTATTTCAATACCTTCTTCAATTTTCTTAATGTTATACTTAATTCCATCAAATCTTTTTCTCAATAAATCATTTCTCAAATTCAATAATTGAAATCCTGAATATAATTCTTTTACAAATTTGGAAATTCTTAAAGGTCTATCGTAATCTCCTGCTGTTACTGAGTTAATAGCAAGTCGTGACTAAATATTATATATCATATATTTTATTATTATTATTATAGAATTATTATAAAATTATAGAATTATTATTATTATAAAATTATTAACTGACCAATTCGCTAGTCAACGTGACATAACCGTGAAGACATTCTTCAATAGATATATGAAAGTCTTGCAAATCATTTTGCAGGTTGATCTTGACTTACTCAACGAATATATTGTATGTGTAATATATACAGTGTGAATGATATAAATGATATATATTTATCTATCTATCTATCTTGTGTATTTAAATATTAAAAAATAACTCTCACCACCAAACAATGATTCAATTTCATTTGTTGTAATTAATCTTTCAGTTGAAAGATAAAATGCAAATGATACAATGAAAAGTGATGATTGAACAGTTCTTGTCCAAAGGTCACTATACCTAATATATATATATATATAATAGATTAAGTATTAATTTTTAATTAAATTATATTATTAAAAATTTTAAATTATATTAAAATTAAATTATATTAAAAATTAAATTCTTATTAAAAAAAAAAACCTATAATATTGTTGATATGGAACTATTTGAGATAAGTTTTCTAAGTGTTGTTTCACTTCTCCAATTCTATCAATCACCGATTGGGCAACTTTTGGAACTATTTATATATATAAAAATATATTATATGCGTATAACACAAGAGAACCTTGAATTTCTCACCCACGATCTCACATTGCATCACATCAATTTTTATTATATTTTTTTAGAGCTAAGGAAATTTCTACTAATTCTATTTGTCACGCCATATCTTATTTTTTTTATCCGGTTGAGAAATAAAATTTACCCTAATTATTAATTTTATTATTAATTTACCTTCTTCAAAGTGAACGGAATGAACTCTATTCAAAACTGCAATAAGATTACGACAAGTTTTGTCATATTCTCGAACTATCCGAAGTATTTCCTATTTATTATATTTATTATTATTCTTCTTTTCATTATTAATAACATATATTATTGATATATTGTTATTATAAGTTTACCTCTTTTCTACCTGTTTCTACTTCCATTGCAGAATCTACACTTTCGAAAAAACTTAGATCTAACGACATTATTGTTTATTTTATTTATTATATTTTATTCGAATAAATGATGAGATAATAACTTTAATTTATGTTTGTTTCACGATCTCCCAAAATTACATAATATATTATGCATATAAAAAATTCCGTCAAAAAAAGATTTGTCGATCGTTATTCAAATTTTTATTTATTTTACTTTTCTAATTTTTATTTCTTCATGTCAATTAGCCAATGGTTCTTACCTTTCTTGTTTTTTCAATTCATTATTTACCTTATCAATTTTTACTTCTTTTGAGTAAATTGACAATGCATAGATAAAATTGATTCTTTTGAGTAAATTGGCAATGCATAGATAAAAAAAAAACAACTCAATATGTAGTAAACTAACCTTTAGGAAAATAACCAGCAAGAAAAATGGCAAATTTCTAATTATTTTTGTTTTCTGGCCAATAGTTCTTGTCCAAGTTTCTCTCTTTAATGCTAACAGGTTTTTTTTTAATATTATAGTTTAACATTAAAAAATAATAAAAAGATAACTACCTCATCTTCTGAAGTATGTTTATGCTTACATGAATAGCTATCATCTATATTCTCTAGGCATCTTGTATATTTATCTCATATAATTGAATCTTGTTTGAAAATTAACTACATAACAATAGTAATATGTTCTTCCTGCAACAAAAAAACATATTAATTTTTTTTATTGTACTATACAGTATATCTCAACATATTTAAAATAATCAAATACTTCATATCATTAAAACTGTGCACCAAGTTATAGCTGTCTTTTTTGATTCTCTACCAATGTAATGTTCTCCCAAAACTTGATGATTAATTCAGATTTCTTTTCTTTCTAAAAAAAGATATAATTAATGTACTCACATAATAATTTAAATTGGATTGAGTCAGATTGGCACCTAATTGACTGAATTCAATTATCAATCCAATCCTGTTTATAAAGATATGTAGATCTTATAAGATAGATTACAAGATGTGAATTTGTCCAATCTAGATTGAAATTTTATTAATAATAATTCAAACTGAATTGAATTTTGGATTATATGAATTCAATTCATTTTGACATGGACATGATTTGTGTAACATATACTTGCATATAAAATTATTTTGAAATTCTGAAATTACAATTTTGGAGAAAAAAGTCAAAATAGTTTTTTATAGAAGATGAAATTATTTTATTTAAAACTTGAAATTTTTTGATTATCCATATAAATTCCTTGATTAAAGATACACTTAACTAGATATTTTTTTTACTTCCATATATAAAATAGATTCTGAGTAAATCTCAAAAAAATGAAATATTCCAAAATTAGAAATTAATTTTGAAAAAATATATAGTGTAACAAATATTAATTCAATTCAAATTCAATTTAAATGTGAACACTTAATATTTTGTTTAGTAAATAGCTAAGTAAAATTACTAGAGCTGCAGATTATGTACACATAGATATAGCAAGAAGTATTAATAGTTATTAGTATAATTTTAATAAAAATTTTTGTAAGGTGAAACTACTGACTGCAAACAATAGTTGAACTCAAACCATAATCTCATTCAAAGAAACAATATTTTTGAACTCATCTGCTACATACATCAAGAATTATATAGAGATGTTCTAATATACTATAAGTACAAAACATTTAAATAATACATTAAAGTGTTATACTTTAGTATATTATAAATACAAAACATTCAAATAACATATTAAAACATTACATTCTAGTATGCTATATGTACGAAACATTTAAATAATACATTAGAAAATTGTGTTTAGTATGTTATATACTGTATATGAAATATTCAAATAATATATTAAAACTAATATGTTATACATCAGGAAATTTAATTAGGCGTCGATTTACGGAAATATCACATGACCTCCGGAAATTTCCGCCTGAAAAATTTGA